GCAGAGCTTCTCGAGGATACTGACAGCGTCAACCAGGCTGTTTCGAACGCAGACAACAGGCCGATCTGGGCCAGGGCCCTCGGAGATGGCAAGCCGCTGAGTCAGTGTAACCAAGAGCTTGAGTACCTGCCCGAGTTACTGGCTTTCTACATGAGTATTTTAGATGGCGAATGTGGCCTGGTGCTGATTACTTCCATTTCTCACTGGTTCACCATGTCAGACAATAACAGAGTGTCTCTTAAACTTAGGATATTTAGTGTTAGTAAAGGCGAACGAGGCCTAGACCGAGACCGTTGTTTTATTTTGCCTGTCAACTGTCTAGGTGGCGTGGAGCGAGACCTTGCAAGCCTGTGCAAGACGCTGGAACAACATCAGGGTCCCACAGACGCAGACGCCCTGACAGCGTCAGAATTGTTGGAGTTGCGCCTTGACGGACCAAAGACAGAGTCAGATGTGTTTGTTCAAGTGTCAGTGCCAGCGTCTTCCAGCGGTGCACTTGCTGTAGGGGGCGCTGGCAGCCTCGACTTCACGGATTACAGCCGGGCTTGTGCACAACTTTGGGTTGATTTATTTGGACGCCGTTTCTCCTTGTACAAGAACCTTGCCCCTGCAGATAACACCGACAGTCTTGTAATTTATTATTAAATTTTAAATTATTTACACTGACTAATAATTACATTGCTTTTTTTTATCACTGGCCCTGCTAGATTCCCAGGACCAGAGCAGATGTCGGTGTCAAGCGAGCCCCAAGACAGGGCACATTTGCTGCCGTTCTGGAGCAGCAGAGACAGAGCGTCAAGCAACTCGTGAACACAGGTGTAGGAGCCAGAGCAAGGACCTTTCTTGGATTTGACAGGACGCTTTCAGAGTCAGAAACTCTTTCGTTAGTTGCAACCTGCAGATTTTACATGTCAAGTGGCCTAAGTATTTCAGTGATGCCAAACTTAAACACTCAGGAAAATCTTTGTCCGGAAAGAGTCTCAGATGCTGTCCAAGAACCCAGCATGGAATTCAGCATTGGACAAGTACCACAAAACAACGCAGCAGAGAGCTGAGCAGAGTCAGGCGAACAGGATGCGACTTTTTCACGGGGTGCCAGCGAGACAGCCCACTGTGAGAGAGGGCCGGGTGTTCAAGAAGACTCGGCAGCCTACTTCAAACCTGACAGAGTCAACCGTCGTTCTGGACCTTGCTAAGACAACTCCGAAGACAAGCTGCCGGGGCACCATGAACAGACCGGCAAATCCAGAGAGTGTCAGTTACAAGGAGATTCGCAAATCACACATTGTCATTGTGGACTCTGTTTCTCGTGTTGAGCGTCTCGAAGCTGGGTTTCTTGTTTCGATTCAATTGCAAACTTTCTGTTGTCAGGAAAACAGCTAGTGTCAACCTGGACGAGCAGGTAGTAGTGTCAACAATGATTGTCCTGTTTGAGGCAAGGCATGGTGCACCTCTACATCACCGTGGTGGCACTTGGCCTTGGTCTGATCAGTTCTGCAGATTGGGATCGGCTGGAAAGCCGGGAGTCAAGAATCCGATACTACGACCCTTCGAGCAGCAGCGTCAGCGCCAAGATTTACATTGCCACTTCCTTCAAAGATGACTCTCACAGCACAGCCAAGCTTCTACAGCATCACTGCTTAAACAGAGATGCATCTTGGACCAGTGTCAGCCGAAGGCAGAATGCTGAACACATTGTGGATAGTTTCGAGTCACTGCACAAATTTCTGGTGCATGTGAGAAGGCTGTCCAAGAGAAATGAGCCAGGCACCAGACGTGGCCAAGGGTCAGGGTGGCACTTTGGAGTTGGAGTGTCACTGTTGAGGAAGCCGCCCCGGTCTGGCAGACAAACTGCAGATTGACTCAGAGTCATTGTGTCATTGTCACTATTATTATTATCTCAGTGCCATTGCCAACTGCTACTTTGAATCTTGATTTGCGTATACCGTGAATAGTACAGCATGAGAGTCAAGATTTTGCTTTGTCTGCCAGCACAGGCAAGCCCAAGCAGGCCGAACATGCAGGAAAAATATGCGTTGCATCTTGGGTTCGGTGTGCATTGGTGCGCAGCTTGTCATGTTCCTGCAGAGTTAAGAATAAGACTTGATTCTGAGAACAGTGTTTGTTTGCCCAGGTTGGACACCGCTGCCTTTTGGATGTGCCGGCCTCAGTGTCAAGCTATGATGTTCTCGCGGCGTTTGTGGATTTGATATTAGCAGCCAGCTTGCTTAGATAACAACAACGGCAAGATCAAGCTATCTGGTGCTTTGCTGAGAATGTGTCAGAGTTACATTTTGAAGCTGCAGTCTGCACCTGCTTTGAGATTAGCAGCCATCAACTTTCCCCCTGCTTTGAGATTACGTTCTTGAGTCTGAGGCCAGAAAGCCAGCGGCAGCCCAACGTCCAGAGTCAAGCTGCAACCTTAGCTGGCATGAGCTGACTGAGCAATAGCCTGACTACTGTTAAGTTTGAGTCCTGCAATAGTACCTCTACTGTTGCTCCTGGTGTCTCAGAGTCTGTCGGAATAGTAGGGACCACTTTGCCGCTACTGCTGCTCCTGCTGTGTGGCTGTGTCAGAGTCCGTTGATGGAATAGTAGTAGGGACTTTTGTGCCTCTACTGCTGCTCCGGTGTGTCAGAGTCCTTTAGTACCAGTTTTCGCTTAGCTCATGCTGCAGAGGGAGAGTCATGAGCCAGAGTCCTTTTTAGCAGGTACTGCTGCAGAGACTACTCTGCCCCGGAGAATAGTTACAGTAGTGAAGTTTGCAAAAGCTTAGCCTTAAGGGTTGGTGTCAGGTATTAGCTGACCTGTTTCTGGTATGCCAATACCTCGCCGCCTTTCAAAAGGCGGCCAGGTATTGGGATATCACAGAGAGGTATCGCAATACGTCCTCCTCTTGGCTCCAGTCTTCGAGGTATTGCAGGACCTAGTTTGGGTGGTCTAATACCTCACAGCCTTTCAAAAGTCAGCTAGGTATTGGGACACCCCGTTTGGAGCCATGACCGCTGCCAAAACTGGCCAAGCCAAAAATAAGGCAAAGGTTGCCGCAGAGTCAGAGCCGAAGGCCCCGGCTAAGGACCAGCTGCCAGAGTCAGAGAAGGTGCCTGTGCAGAAGATTCCGCCACCTCCAGAGTCTGCAGACCAAGGGCAGCTTGCAGCAGAGTCACTGGAGCCCCCAGCTCTTCCGGCCAAGGATGAGGAGGCCAAGAGGATGTCTGCATTGAGTGTCATGCAGCAGGTGATCAAATATGTTTCTCGGCTCTTCTAAATTGAACTTGTGCTTTTCCGTTTCCAGAAGTCAGTGAAGAGAATGACAGTGTTGTTGTACTGTTTGTGCAGTCAAGGTTCACCGTCGCTGGGCTGTGGAGTGTGGCCTTTCCGGAGAGTCAAAGCTTAAGGACCTGGCGCCGCTTTCCATCGAGAAAAACAAGGCTGTGCAAACAAACTTTCGAGAGTCATGGAGCCCTACATCCTGTCAAGTGTCAATGGAGCGAAGAGACATGTACGAGGCCGGAGGGTCACTCTTTTGGTTGGATGGGTTGGTCACGCTTGCTGGCTGGAAGGATGAGCCTGTCTTGGTGGAACCTCCATCCATGTGGGAGGTTTTGGAGGCCGAAGAGGTCCTTGTGCCAGAGTGTCAGAACCAACTTTACTTTGGCGACCCCTTCTTGGCCTTCGTGCAGAACTATGGCAACGGAGTCAGCTTCCCAAGCGGGATGAGGCTGATGAGGGGTATCCTTCCCCTTTTTGCCTGGTATGTTGCTGCATGCAGAGTCATCCTGGAGCCTCTGAGCAAGGCCAGAACTGAGAGGTTGACGGCACTGCACACCATGGCACTGACAGTGTCAATCCGAGCCTACTACTACAACCCCAGAGAAGGCAAGAGCAACATCATCCTGCGATCTTTGCAGAATTCCGAGAAGAGCAAGATCACTGCTCCTGGTGACTCCTTTCAGATGTTTGTGAAGAAATTGGGTCAGTTCATGGAGTCTGCCCCCAAAGAAGAGTCAGACTCACAGCCCAAGTTGCTCAAGTTCCTTGTGGACAGGAACATTCGCTTCAATGGCAGCCTTGTCAACCGCACGCTTCTTCAAGCCTCGGTGAACTTTTACAAGCTGCTGACTCCAGGGATAGAGTCAACACTGGATGCAATTCAGCGCGAATTTGGGCGTGCTGTTTGGTCTGCCGGCTACAACAAGATCATGCGTCTGTGTCAGATCGCAGCCAAGATGGCCGGTGATTGGCCCACGGAAGTGTCAGTGTCAGACTTGGTGCACTTTGCCCTGGACTGCTGCTTGATGCAGCTTCGCCGCAAACAGTGTGGGCCTGAGTTCTACAAGATGGAGACCTTGGTGACGGAGAGATCTGGCTGGGTGCCTATCACCTGCTTGAAGTGTTACCTCATCATGCACCTGTTGTCGGTGTCAAAGGCAGCCGCCGAGAAAGAGTCCGAGTCAAAAAGTGCTACTTCGCGGCTACCAAAAAAACTTCTGCACGAGGCAATGCAGAAGGTGGCTTCTCCTTCGTCCTACGACGAGAATGTCCCCTTGCCACGGTCGGAGGAGGCGGAGGATGTCCTTGAGGAAGGGCCAGGGCCAGCGTCAGCGTCAGCGTCAGCTTCCAAGCCCAACGAAGAGCAAGCTTGCGCAGACGCAATGGCCAGGGTCACAGAGATGCTCTCAAAGGCGGGCCGCGCTTGTGTCGAGCTGGTGCGGGACCTCATGGAGGGCAAGCACGAAGACGCACTCGCCAAGCTGACCAGTGTCAAAGACCCCCTGTACCACCTGATGGAAGGGTCAGCGTCAGATGCAAAGCATTTGGGAAAAGCTTTCAGAGCGTCAGTGTCAACCATGGTTGCTTCGGCTTTCGCGTCAGAGTCAGGTGACGCTCCTGTGAGTTTTCGGGAGTTGGCCCGTAAGTTGTCGGATCCAGAGCAGCCTGACGAAGCTCAGAAGGTGCAGCGTCAGAAGGTCTGGCAGCAGGCGCAGCAGTTGCGCAAAAAGACGGTGCAGCTGGCGCTGTGGAAGGGCACCGTCGACTCCTTGAAGACGCTCGTCGACAAGTCCGTCTTCAAGCAGTGTCAAGGCAAGCTCAACGAAACCCACAGGGTCATCTTCTTCTCCGCGGACCTCTTGGATGAAGCCAAAGGCACCTGGCAAAGGCCAGTGTCAATCGCAAAAGACAGCGCAGACCCGATCATGAAGTTCCTTGAAGACTTCACTTGGAAGGAGCACGACATCCTCGTGCTCTTTGATGGTGGCAACCAAGCCAACAGAGACTACCTCCGTGCAAGTGTCGGCGCCAAGGGTCAAAAGAATTTGAATGAGTTCGTGCTGCTGTACTCTCGCAGAAGCAGGATGTCCAGAAGCCGCAAAGTGTTCTGTGCCAGCCAGCGCATGGAGACTGGCATCATCAAGACCTTCGTTCCACGAATCAGAGTCAATGTGAAGGAGCGAACTGACATGTATGCCATCCCGACGCCGGACAAGAAGGAGGTAGCCACGACCCACGACCTGAGCATGGTGGGGTTGCCGCCTCTTGAAAGACGCCCCAAAATCAGCGTCACTGAGAAGGCCAAGATATGGAGTGACATCGATGAGCCCCCCAAGTACAGGCTGGAAAGTGTCCCCATCTACTGGGCAGAGTCAAAGCCCTGGGACTGCTGGGACACATTGTTGGCGTGCTTGGACGCCGGCGCCGTCCTCGATTTGACCCCAGGGTCAGGCCTACTTGCCAGTGTTTGCATGGCTGCTGGCATATCCTACACCGGCATCACCAGGTCGGACGTGCACAGCAGTTGGCTCGCCAACGTGCTAGACCACGACTGCCTTCGCCTGATTGCCGACTCGGACAGTGTCATGCTGCTTGATGTGATTTATAATTAGCCGTCGAGCTTAGGATTAATTATTATTTCATAGCCAGAGTCAGTTTGTTCAGGTGTGTCTGACGCAAATTTCCTTCAATAGTAGCCACTGCATCCAGTCAAGGTACCAGGAAGACTTGTCGGAGTCAGTGAGAAAGCTCTTCGATGACGTCTTGAGGGAGCTGAATGATGCCGAGCTCCAAGAGTCAGACGAGGATGACATGGGTGACGAGGATATGGCTGACTGACGCCACCTATTTCACAGCTAGGATTGGTGTGATTGTCATATCAATGAGTTTTTACTTTGTTGGGACATGTTTTAGTCTGTCTTGAACTGCTTGCAATACCCAATTCTAGCTGTGAATGTGTGTGGGCGCTGCAGCCAGGGCAGCCTCTTGAATCTTTTTCAAGACATCGGAGTCAGTGTGGAAGCATGTCTGCTAGCAACAGATCATGGTGCCAGAAGTCAAGTTGATTACTCGTATCTTGAATGCCAGTCTCGAGCAATTATTAGATTATTATTTAATCTGAGTCTTGCATGTAGCTATTGCCGATTCTACTAATTTCTACAATGTTTACCGTGTCTTGTTGCAGCAGTACGGCTCCCATCCCCCGATGTCGTAGTGTCAGAGGCCAGCGGAGTTATTGAGCTGCTACGGCAGTTTTGATTAGCGGACAAAGCGGTCCCGGCCCCTGTGTAGTAGCGAGAGTGCAGTGCAATTGATACGAGTCGCTTTAAATAATTTAATAATTAATACTGACAATTTAGGGTCAGCTTTGTCCCAATGCCAGACCCAGAGTCATTGTCAATCTTCTGACGGCGGGCATGCGCGTTGCTGCTGCCGGGCAGATGCAGAAAAGTCTCCCTTCGTTTGCAGCGTGCGTTCAGAGATTGTCAGTTCGTTTCTGCTGCACATACACGTTGCATGTATGACACTGTTTCTGAGATGCAGCTGTCGTTGAGTCGTTCATGCTGCGCATACACGGTGCATTTATGACCCTGTCACTCTGAGGTCTTCTTCTGCCAAAGGGCCCGTGTCTTCCCCAAGAGAGCCGGTGGCCCGGCTGCCAAGACCTGCAGAAGTGTCAGAGTCCTCAGCACCTGTCTGCTTGTGAGTACAGTTGCGAGCGACTGGCATGTGATGTGAAGTCATTGTTGTCCGCAGTCGTGGCTGCCGCAGTGCTTGAGTGGACATGACTATTCACTAATGAATTAAAAAGTAGTCTAGTGACTGACAGTCAATCTACTGAATCTTTAAGTTTCCTACGCAGCCTGCCATGCATGACCCTGCGTTTTGTGTCAGACAGGACTGGGCAAAGAATCTCTTCGCGAGGGTCAGGCAAGCACGACAGGAATGGCTTCACAAGAACAGTGTCAAGAGTACTCCGCTTTCCATACCA